GAAGGGTACCACCCCCCCCCCCCCCCCCCTCGCATACATACGTACGTACATACATTCGTTTGTCGCTTAATAAGAATAACCCAACTATTACAACGTCACCTTTAACATAGTACGCATTAAAAACATCTAATTTTGGCGATCTGTGATCGTTCGGAGAATCTAACGCGTCTTCCGGAGCGTCTAATCTGACCCCTTAACTGCGATACAGGCGTCGGCCTTGGTGTTCGTGTCTAGGGCCTGTGCTCCTTCAACTGTATCTGCGACTATGTACGCTGGTTTTAACCAATCGATAGTGATGATCACCGACTTGCCTTTAATTTCTATGGTAAAGTTTTTGGACTTTTTCGCAACGAGTTGCGAACCGTACAGTTTCGAACGAATACTTCAATAGTCACTGCTAAATCCTTAAGTATAAAAATTCGCTTCGCTCCATGGTGACTACCCGGAGCTGGTGTAATTCCACGGAAGTGTTGACACACTTCTTTGACAAAATCGGCCACATCGTGATTTGTTTCGGTCGGCTGCAACGATAGAAACTCGCCAGATAGTCGCAGCGTCCCACCATATACTAGCTCTGCAGTCGTGGCCTTGACATTTTCATTCCAGGCATCGTACTAGTAAAATAGTAGGAAGAATTTTCGTGCCTTTAATTGGCTGCAAACGCTCCATCATACCGTTCGCTGCTGGGTGATATGCCGGTGTCCTTAAATGTGATGTACCTGTCAAGATGCTTGATTGCTTGAACAAGTACGGTTTAAACTGTCTCCCTTGGTCTGTTGCTACGCGCAAAAGAGTCCCGAAGAGCGTAATCCATCCCTCATAAAATGCTCGTGCGACCGCGGAAGCCTTTTGGTTTTTTAAGAGGAATGCTTCTGGCCATCGGGTGAAACGGTAGACACAGGTGACAGGTTACAATACCTGTACCCCTCAGACATTTCAACACTACGATATCTATGTGTACGTGTTCGAACCTTACCAAGGATATGAATTATCCTGTTGGCGCATGCACGGGTCTAGACACTTTGGAACGCTGGCACGGAATGCACGCCAGCCCCCAACGTCTACAATCAGCCTTTATTGACAGCCGCATGTACCGTTCCGTCATTAATTTTATTGCTGCATTAATTCCGGGATGCGTGAGCCTATGTACAATATTAAAATCGGTGCGCTGGAATGATTTTCTTATGAAAGGTCTTATCAAGGCTGTTGATGCATCACAAAAAACTACACTGTTTGTGCCGGGAATTGCCACTTTCTTTAAACGTAACCTAATCTCCGTTTCTTTTCGCAAATACGCTCGGAGTTCTACATGCGACTCCTGTGATCCCTGTTAGTGTTTCATAGTTAAGAAGTTCCTCCACTTCCTCAATCCTGGACAAGGTATCGGCCACAATGTTGTCCTTACGGACCAAGTGACGGATATCGGTCGAAAATTGTCCGGAATTGACTGTTCTGGCTTTTGCTGAAAGGCGAATACGATCGGCTTATAGTACATAAGAATCGTGAACGTACGACCCTCTATCATATGCCTGAAATGTTTAATCGCGAGACAGATGGCCAGCAGTTCTCTATCATAGGTTCCGTAATTGGACTCGGCAGGGCTAAGCTTTTTTGAAAAAAAGCCCAACGGCTCCCAACCCTTGTCTGTGTTCTGTTGGAGGACTGCTCCAACGTTGAATCCGAGGCGTCGCAGGTAAGCACGAGTGAAGCGTTGACCTGGCCCGTTGTTTCTGCAATCGCATATGCCAGGTTGGCCACTTTGTCGAGTTCCACGTCTTTTTGTGTGGCTAAAATGACCCATATTTGTAGGTATTCTCCCCATCCAGAGTGAACACAGAACGTTATTGGAGACTGTGGTCCCGACAGTCCTTTCAGATACCGCAGAAACCATGACGGTTCTCGATCGCCGATCTCTTTCGATTCGAAGAGACGTCGGGTCTTCTGAACAATCGTTGAATGGCTGCTACTCGATTTGCGACGAAGGTCTTCCACTGTCGCAAATGTCCCTGTACCCAGCCCAGGGTAACCCGCAAGTCGATCCACAGATGTACTGGGACGTTTGGGCATTGTAGAACCGCCAGGACATGGTGAGTCAAATTAGCCAACAAATGTGCACAGTTCAATTCCAACCGTGAAAGTGTCAACTTTTCTAAGGGTGCAACCATCGTCTTGGCTGCTTGTGGACGTGGCCATCAACATTGGTGTGGTGGACGTAAATCACCGTCGCGTAGGCCACTTGAGACGCGTCCGTGAAGCCATGAAGCTTGACCGTGGAGCTTGACTGGCTCTGAAGTGCAGTGCTAGCGCGGGACGAGGAGCCCATCAAGCTGAGGAAGTTCTCGTGTATACCTGGTCCATTGTCTTGCCTTGCGCTCTGACAATGGGCTGCCCCAGTCGCCCTTAACAAGTCAAAGTGATTGTAAGAGGATCTTAGCACTAATGACGACGGGAGTCAACCAACCTGAGGGATCCAATAGACGCGCAGTCCGACAAAGTCTCTATCCTCAGAGACATCACATCTTTAGTAGTAGACTACAGTAAAGCTTGCTCTTGCAAAGATGGCAAACGTTAACGACACCCTGAACGACCTGGTGGACTCCAGCGCTCTTAGCGATCGTTCCCATCCTGTCGCTGGACTACCTCGAGCACCTCGACACAGTGGATGCGTCCCTCCAAGAACATCCGCATCTGCTCCAACGTTGGCAACTTGGTTCTGCTTTTAATATGCCGCTCCTACTCTTGGCGTGTCAGGCGATCGAGCATTTACACCGTGAGGTGGACTACCCAGTCCTCGGAGCTTCGGACCTAGGACTGTTTATTGTGTTGAGTCGAACCGCTAAGTTCGACTTTGTGTATAAGAACTCTGGGGCGACATTAGTTTTGTACACTGGCTCGGGTGATACCAATAATTATATATAACACTGTCCGACACGATTTTTGGGTTCCTATAGCCACGATGAAATTCTTGTAGAGCTTCAATCCCTGAACAAGAATCCGAAAACCGAATTGCTCCATCACCCTCAGTTTTTTAAATAAACGAACTTTTGTAAAAACCCAAAATTTTCGACAAAAATGAGGTGTTGCATGAAAAGTACAAACACGCTAGAAAGTTCTAATCAATCTCAAAAGATAGAGGAAAGTTTTCCGAATATAGTGGCATGCAATTTATTAATTGTTTTTGGTCCTAAATAGCAATAAATTAATGTCAAAGTTTAAAAAAGTGTCGACGTGCGCAGTTTCTGCGCAATGTTTTTGTATTTTTACGAAAAGTTTTTTGTTCGGCACGAAAACTTTACCCAGGATCGGATTCTGTAAACATTTCTGAAGAAGAAACGGCCCGTTAAAAGTGTCGGAACGATATACATTTCGAGTAGATCGAGAAAATGTTCGACGACAACATGTACACGACGTTTTGCCGCCATGAGCTTCGCTGCTCGCTTCTCTCTGTCCGACAGGGCCGAGGCTATGGGTAATCAACACCGATGGAGGGATCCAATGGGGCACCCACTTAGCGTGTGAGGCGTGCCATTTTTTTTAGTACTTAAATGTGCTGTCTTCTTTTACATATTTTTATGGATAATAAT